TGTGGGCGAAACGCGGCAGCCAAATTGCACATTCATCATGTCCAGGCTAGAATACGCCAATTCTCTGCTCCCCAGTGTATCCGCCTATCTCCCTCATCCTTGCCTGGCTCCAGTGGTTTCCCATCCCCAGCGGATTGAGTTCAAGATCCTAGTGCGGGAGGGGTTTAAGACTAGGATCTTTCCCCACTCTACCTCTGTAACCTTCTCAAACCCTACCAACCAACTGCTACCTCCACTCAGTGAGCACTTGTCAGCCTCACGTTCTCTGTCCCAACCTCGGCAGTCAGGCTTTTAGTGTGTTTGCCTCTATTCTCTGGAACTTTCCTTTCGACTGCCCCTTCTGTCGCCTCCTTCAAGGTCCGCCTCTTTGACTTCGCTTTGGGCCATCTTCCACCCCCCACTCCCTTGCCCTTGCCCCCACTCCCAGCTCGACTACCAGCGCATTGGCACGGCCTCCTGACGTAAAGATAAATATGAATTTGTATCGTAATCAACAGCATTATATTTTCAGACAATTTGTGTGTTTCTGTGTATGGGGAAGGTTGAAATACGTACAGTTGAAGATAAATGACTTGTGATTTACAAAATTATTGACTCCGAGCTGTCAGATGTTCCCAACAAATGATAGACTGCGCAAATCAATAGCAAAACTGTTCAAGAGGTACCATGTCACGACAGCTCTACAGCACGACGCGGTTCATTAAATCTGATTACAGAAGCAGGAAAGTTACAAACTCCCCATTTACCAATCGCACTCCAGCTGGCCTCCAGATGAGCAGCTTCAGCTCACAAATGAACCTTATTTTATCATTTGAGCGAATGCATGAACATGTTTGAAAAACAAATGTCGGTATTACAAGACAGAAAAGCAAACAAACTAGTGAAGCATTTTTACTCTCAACTTTTTTTCTTAAATGGACTTTTTGGTCAGTCGTGAACTGAGCCAGGTCACACACTGCTCAGGAGACAGTCAGTGATCAGCAGATTCTTTCCCACCAATCTGCTGGACATGTGTGATCCTGACAAGATTTGCAAGCCGTGAATGGCAGTACCAGATGGGAGTTGTTTACATGGCTTGAGCTTTAAAGTTAAAGAACTGCTCTCGGTTTTGCATTACTGCTGGTCTCTTGGACCAAAGATTGCAATTAGACAATCTGTAGTGTACTTAAAACTACGTTTCTGGTAAGGTATTCATTTCCCCCTCTACATTTTTGGTCTCAGCGACCCAGAATCCACCAATAGTACCATTCATCTTCGCTTGGCTCCATTGGCTCCCTACCTCCCGGCAGATCAATTTAAAATCCCTGTTCTCACATTTAAATCTCTCTAGAGTCTCGCCCCATTCTACTTCTGTGATCTCCTGTGACACTGCTGTCCCAACCGTTCCCTCCACTCAGCCAGCAGAGTGTGTTATTTTTTAATTTTTAAGAAGGTTGATGATTTTCCAGGCCCAGTGCAATCAAGCACACCCTCCAAGCCCTCCAAATCCTGCCTTCGGAGCCATTCTGACAGTGATCTGACAGCCACCGCTATGGTGCTGGGTGTACCCTCAAAAAGAGTACAAGCTAAGGATGCCATCACATCTATAGTCATTATCTCAGTTAGCTGTCGTGTACTTTGTTCTATTGTTACTTCCACCGCCTTCTAGGCACACGGAACAGCAGCCCAGTCCATAGCTCTGCTGTCAAAGGGTTATCATTGATAGATCTTTCAAATGGGTAGTATTCACCTACAAATACACAGTCACTACATTTCACAAGCGCTAGATTAAATGCAAGGATTATTGTTATTCGCTGCCACAAGGGACAAAAGAGTATTATAACAGGAATGACCACATGGTGTTGCCCCACCATAGAGCCTCTGGGCACTCCAAGTACATTACTACTTTAAGGCGACACAGTGGCTGTTATTTTAGAACAATCCGTGCATAATCCGATTTAACACTTAATACAGGTCAGGTGCCAGAAGAAAACATGCAATATCTGGTTAATATACTGTGATGAATTTAATTTCACGTATTTATGAAAAAACTGACCACTGTAAATTGAGTTTGTACAGAGTTGCAAAAAAGTCATTAAAAAAACATTTGTTGAAAATAATGATCAGCAGTTGAAAGATGGATTCCTGCTGTCCTAAATCAATTTTTTTTCCGTGGGGTGTGGAGGGGAGGGGATCAGCTGGAAACCTAACTTGATAACTTGTCATATGTGGAAACCTAACACTATGCTTAAGAGTCTCCAAGCCAAGCTACCCAGAGTTTATATACATGTATGGTTTTCATTTGTCTGGTTTGGAGTGAGCACTTTGTCCTCAGAGGGACGTACTCTGCTTACATAATCCTTGGAGAATTCAGATGCAGGTTGGCAGAGGCCAAGGCTTGGGAAAGGCTTGAGTGTGCTTCGCGGGTACTGTTAAGAGCTTAACTAGCTAGCCATGCACAGGCTACTGTTGCAGAGCACTGGTAAGCTTCCCACTGCTTGCCCAGCTAGGAATAACCTTGCCAGGTTATCAGGAGCCAAGTGGAGAGAAGCTCCCAGTGATTGGTTTGCCCATCCAAATCCTTCTAACTAACCAGCCTGGCTGATTCACCATCCATCGAGCCCTGGAGTTCTATGGCGATGTCTGGCTTCCATATTGATTTCTAATTTTTAAAAAATCGATAATTATTACATTTAATAATTATTACATTATTACATCTAACGCCTTTCGTGTCAGGAGGATGTCCCAAGGCTTTGGACAGTCAAGGGTTTGCACCTGAGCTGGGGGTTGGAATTAAAAGGTTTGGAGGGCAAGGAGGGTAGTGGTGGGAGGATGATGGGCAAGGCAAACTACCGATACTCAATAAGATTGCAACACAAAACTCCATTAAAATCTTCATCAGCCTTATTTACCTACAGTAGGAAACTAAAGTTGTTTATCTTTACCTGACCCAATAAGTAATTGGGGAAAAGCAAAATGTTTTGCACTTAAAAATCTGCAAAAAGACAGAAAATATTGTGAGATTTTTCTCCTGAATCAAACAAAATACAAGTGTTATGCGGTTAATTCCAACAATTTACATTTATACAGTGCCTTTCATGTTAGGAGATGCAGGGGACGGAGGTACAAGGGAACCATATTGTAATTTCAATTTAAGAGAGATTCTATGTTCCAACATATACTTACATATAATAATCATCCTTGCATTTGGTATAGCATCTTATTACGTCATCAAGACGTATCAAAGCGCTTTATACAATAAATATACTGTGTGAAATGCAGTGACTATGTATTTTGTAGGCAAGCACAGCAGCCAATTTATACACAGCAATGTCCTCCAAAGAGCCATGAAATGAGTGACAAATTGTTGGTCAGAATAGCAGGAGAAACTTCCCACTCTTTTTGAGTAGTGCCATGGGATTTTTAACATCCACCTGAACGGGAAGATGGGATCTCGGTTTAACATCTCATCCAAAGAACAGTGTGTCCAAGCAGTGCATTAGAGTTATCTAACAAGTAAATTACTCTTGATTTTACAATGTCTTTCATAATGCTATGTAAAAATACCTTCATATTGCTACTGTAAATCAAGCGAGAATCTATAGTAATATTGCCCTTTCCATTTCTTACAGAAAGTGCCAGTCATGTGTGCTTTGAAACGCAACTTTCTGCTATACATTTAAAAAAATACACTTATTCCCTCCACTAATTTTCTTACTTCTGCATCTGATTACACAAACTCACTTCTTCCTTCCTCTCCCAATGATACTGACTCCCTTTGGGCGAGTCATCATTCTTCACAAGAGTCCAGAAACAGTGGTATCAAACATGGTCATGTCCCTATGTGGTGTCCGTATATATGAACTTTGCAGCAGGTGACTGGTTTGAAAGCAGGGCAAAAACCTTGAATGATACTTTGTCCTCCTCTGAAATCAACTGTAGCACAACTTACTGCTATCATAGCTGGGATCAACCAAACGATTCAACCAGCGTTTGGTCTGTATGACTCAATACCACGTTGAATTATAGAAAACAATACGAAATATCATTTTCACAGACGTCAGAAAGCATGTCCATGCACTAATAAGCGTAACAGAAATTTACTGCTCTGCACAATACATGTGAAACAGTTGAGTGGAAACTGAAAGTGGATCTATTTGGCATAGAGAGAGTTAACAAGATGGTTCGCTAGGTTATTTGTTTCGCGACATGAGACAAAGACAACCTGACATTGTTCTTTGTTCCATCAAGATTTTCCTGTGAAAGTTAATTTGTTTAAAAAACATGGAAATACTGGTAGTTATTTCTTGAATGAAATCCAATATTGTCGGCTCAGCTGGAACAATAAAGCTCCCGCAGATTCCAATACAAGACGCATTACAAAGCCCAGCATGCACATCCTAAGGGGAATAAAGTTGTAATAAAGCATGTGCAGGGGTAGCTGGGACAGAAACGTGGAAAAGAATTTATATCCTGTCAGAACAATTTGGGGTGGACAATGATGCAGAAAATGATAGCTCAAGATTAGGGATTCAGCCAGTGGTTATAAGCATATGCATAGTTTGTCATACGTTTGCGAATTGTTGACATCTGATATGTTTACTGAATGTCTAAATGCATCTAAATGCACAACACAAAATCTTGCAAAAGCTTCAGGGCATTTTTGCTGCCACACTGAAAGAGTCAGAGTCAAAATGTTAAGAATGCTGCAGAATAGTACAACCTTGTGCTCTTGTATATCCCCTATAATCAGTCACATAATGCAGATCACTGAATCGAGTAAGTAACATTTTATTTGGTGCCTTTTACTAAGTGACAGAATGCATGACAGCATCTCTCCCTGCTTACAATCTCCGTCATGCCATGGGTGAGGTCCCAATACAAGATTGCTTTCAAGGAGAGGTTTTAGTCATTTTGAAAAGAGCTCAGTTGTCACAAAATTGGTTTGTTTGGCTGTGATTTCATAGGGAATATAATTGACTTTAGATTGTGTGGGACACAATAATCATATGGCATCTTACCTCAATGATGTACAAGACAATGTTCTTGTAAAAGCAGTACAGGATACATTTTGCTACTCGGTCATAGTCCCAGGCTCCATGAACCAGCAGCAAGTTCTTCAGATACTTGAACTGGAAACAACATGCAGAGAGTATGATAATCCACTGCGCAATGATTATCTTTACAAATAAAAAATAAGTTGGTTTTCTTTCTGCATTTGATCATAATCTGTGCAATCAAAATATGTTTTATGACAGTTTCATTCTAAGAGTAGAAATACCCTATGAAAAGGATGTTGCGCACACATACAAACTGAGCAACAAAAATAATAGACAGTGCAGGTAAAATGGTGTTGGAACTTTGTAATTCTCTACAATATACGCTTTCCAAAGTCAAATCACACCCTCACACATTTTGATTCTCTTGCTAACCAGTCATGACTCTAAACAGTCATCCGGTTTTCTGTCCTATTTTACTGCTTTAAGATTGTGAACATCAGTCAACCCTCATATGGTGCCTCATCCTTGTTTCAGTAAAGCATTGGTGTAGGTGTTCTACTGGTTACACGTTTCGAGGAACATGTAATTTTATTTGAATTTCTCCCTGAAACCACTTTGATGTCACTGAGAGGAAGAACCATGGAGATACAGAGCAGTGCTCTGTGCCAGTATTTATACTCCATGCGAGTCCCCCCATAACCTACTCCCTACCCAGCCCCACCTCCCCCGACAACCCTCTATTCTCTTCTCTCACAGGTGTACTTCAATGGGAGCTGATGTCGTGTTGTTTCACCCTCAAAATCTCAGTACTGTTGGATATGGCTCCAAACTTACCAGGATCAAAGGTTTTTGAAATCAGATGGCTTTGGAATGGCTTTTGTGCTTTTTTGAAGTCATTCCCTAACATCACACCCCCCTCCGCCCCCTACACACACGCATCCACCTGGCATTTCCTATCAGTTACATCACTGAAGTGACCTAGACAGCTGGCGGAATACTTCAAACAAAAATCACCCAAGACTTCTTCCTCTTTAAACAGAAATAGTAGAATTAGTGCACCTCAAATCAAATATTAGCAAAAATACTATTATAATAATAATAATTTTTGCATTTGATATATTTCCTTTCTAGTCAGGAGGATATTTCCAAGCACTTCAAAAAATTTATTGTAAAGTGTCGTGATTGTGTATTTTGTAGAGGGAACAACGGCAGCCAATTTCCACACAGCAACGACCCACAAATAGTCAAGTAAGTACGGTCCTTCAGTTACCTGTGCTATGGAATAGTCAGAGGAATTTGCTGCCTGCAGTCCCTCATTTCCACTAATTCCAATGCCAACATGTGCCATCTGGATCATTCCCACATCATTTGCTCCGTCACCGATTGCAAGTGTAATAACTTTGATCTGCTTCTTCACCATCTTAACAATTTCTGACTTTTGAAGAGGAGAAGCTCTGAATAAAATGAAACAAGACAACACATCAGAGAGAAAACAGTACACGTCTGTAACAGAACAACGACACAACATGCATAAAACAAGCTGCTGTTTCAATTTCAAATATCCATTACTGCAAATCCCCAAAGTCAGTAAGCATGTTTTTGTGGTTCTTGTGGTTAAACAGATAATATAACTTCCATCGGTGATCAATCAATTTCACCATGAAGAGCAAAAAAAAAGGCACAATTAGAAAGGTGCATCGGCAATATGTAAATATAGGTCGTAGGTGTACATGTTGTTTTTAAAAAATACATTGAATTGTCTGTGTAAAATATGGTAGATAGTGCAGTGGAGGTTAATAGCCATTGCCGCCAATGCTGGAATTCAATGAAACTTTGGTTACTAATAATAATCGTGTTGCAGCTTTACGCTCACTAAAAACAAATATGTTTTCTGAGAAACTGACAAAACCTTCAATATCAATTTAAAGCCTGCTAACAATTCAAAGTAATTGCGGATAGTAATAAACAAGAATGAAAATGGAGGCCACGAGCATACACATTTGAACCATAATGTTAATGTGATGTCAACACAAGTGTACCGGTGTATAATTACTTATTTTGAGGTAATAAATGTTAGGAAAGCCTGCAGGCCTGAAGGAAAAGCGCAGCATCAGAGAACAAGCCACAAATATAGCTGATGAATGGTGAAATTTTACAGTTTGCTGTAACCACAGACACGTTCCTAAAGGACCCAGGCTAGGAAATAATTGTAAAACTTGAGTTCACCATTTCTAAGTGTCTCAGAAATGTGGAACAAAACTACATTCCTGAATTGAGAACCCAACTGGTGAGAAAATGCCTTGCTCATTCCTTGACGAGTTTGTCAATGACCTTTACCTGCTGGCATCATTGAACATCAGGAATGTCTTTTAATGTCACAAGTAAACACCTACTTTACTTTGCCATGGTACATGAGGAATGAGTCAATTAAACAGTTAGGTGGGATAAACAGCATGAGCTTGCACAGAGGTAATTTCCAAGATGACATGAAACAGAGAGAGACGCACACAACAGTCTGTAAGCAGGATGTTTGAAAATTAGTTTTCACATTAAATGCCAATACTGTATATATAACTCAACACTATAAAGTACAATGGGGTTGATTTAATATACAATTCCTGGATTAATTAATATGCTCTAGCCTGCCTTATGACCTTGCTATTCAACTGTGCTCTAGTCACCTTTCTCCTCCCACCCTCCTCAATCCCTCAACTCCGAGAGCTTCCAATTAGCTATGTGAAGCAGTTTGAGATGCTCTCCTGATATGAATGACACCATATGAATGGAAAATTGTTGGTGCTGGTTGTACTGAATCAGCTCAACTGGTTGGTCCTAAAATTTGTAACTTGCACCTGAATGTTATATTTAAAAAAAATTAAAAATGGGCAAGTCGTTGAAAGCCTGTCATGTTCTACTGTACGACTACAACAATGGCCACGCTGCCTCAAAGTGAAAGATAGTGGGTGAGATATAAAATGGTTAAAAAAATATGGTGGTGGAAGAAAAATCAGGAATAATGTGATTCTTTAATAAGATATGGACTACTTCAAGAAGGTAAATCGGTAGAATGAGGTTCTTTTTCCTAATGACGCTTTTGGGAAGAAATTCCACCTGGGTCTCAATCTTTTCATGCAGCATTTCAGAGTGCCCAAATCTGGCAAATTGTTGAATTCAGACTTAACTTTGAAGTTGGTTAGATATTTAGATATTACTGTAAAATACCAGTTCAATACAGTTGTTTAACATATACCCATTTTGTTTTTGTCTCTCCCAATGTTAAATAAAGCCTCAACAATGTGCTGCTTGAACATGTCTAGCTTGTTAAGCGCTCGGAGATGCTAGAAGGATGCAAGAAGGGTGGAGTCCTGTAGCTCAGTGGTTAGAGCACTCGCCTCACAATGAGAGGACCTGGGTTTGATTCCCGGCGGAGTGAAATGTTGGGCAAGTTTCCTTACTCCACACGCTTCTGTTTACCTAGCAGTAGGTAGGTTGTTAGTTGTTTGGCGAATTGTTTTTCTGGGGGTAATATTTCCTTCAAAATAAATGAAACTAATTTGGTCACTCAATACGACTGTTTGTGGGGAACTGCTGTGCACAATTGGCTGCCGTGTTTTGCCCACAAAATATACAGTCAATTAACTTTACAGTGTATTCTGTGAAGCGCTTTGAGATGTCTTGAAGATGTGATAAGGTGCTATATCAAATGCAAGGATTATTATTATTATATAAATGCAAATTGTTGTTGGTCCCAAATGTCAAAGAGCTATGTAGTCCTTTTACTTATTACAAGACCTAGGGTTTCAGCTTGTTCAAAACAGTGTCAGCAAAACATTTTCACATTCTGGTGGATCTTACCGGCAGCAAATGACTGCTTTGCAAGACAAAGCCAGGTCCAGGAAGTATTGTTGCACTCCAAACGTCAGTGCGTATTTGAGGGTTTTACCATCTATAATCAGTGCAAAATCATTCTCCTTACGTAAAGCATCTCCCAGGTTGTTGCAGTGAAAGCTAAGTTTTTCCCTTGTCGCCTGTTGAAACAAAATATAAGCCCTGAAATTTAGCAAGGTGATAAAATTTCACATAAAAAGTTTCACAAAATAGGAAAATAGAACTACTTCAAACCTGGGAAGAAAAACTGTCACTCAAACAAAAATCAAATTATATATTCATACAGTGACTGGCTGATCGATGCAGACCATTTTTTAAAAAAATGTATAAAAACAGCTAATATTCATGCAATTTTCTTCCCTCTCTCCGCACAGACATCAAGCATTTGACTTTTTTCTTCCTCTGGGTACAATACTTCACTGAGAGCTCTTGAGTATCTTACGTAAGTGATCATTATTATATAATCCTTATATTTGATATTGGGTCTTTCTTGTTGAGAGGACGTCTCAAATGTTTCACAGGATACTGTAAAGTGAAGTGACTGTGGATACTGTAGGTAAACATTGCAGCCAATTTGTGCACAGCAATGTCCTTCAAACGGCTATGGAGTGAATGACCAATTTTATTTGGTTGGCCAGGAGGCTGGGAGAAACGTCCTTCTCTTGTTAAATAGTGCCGTGGGATCTTTAACGTCCACCTGAACAGGCAGAAGGAACCTCAGTTTAATGTCTAGTTTAATGGCACCTCCAGCAATGCAATACCCTCCCAGTACTGCATTGGAATGTCAACCTAAACTACATCTCAGCCTTAACAATGAGTGTTTACAGGCTATTTCATTGTGGGGCATCAAAATTGAGACAGTAATGATACCAATCTGCTTCATTTGTGCGGAAACAATCTCAACTCTCCAGAAGTTTGAGTACTACAGTATTGCCCTTCTCTCTCCTCGCCCAGTGCTCAACCTGCAACCTCTGGCAAGTCACTGCACAGTGATCAGCAATAGGAACACCGACTGACTTCAAGTACAGTTCTTCGCTGCTATGATACGTTTGGAACACATAAAAGCATTGAATTTAAAAAGGCAGCAGTTTTTTGAAAATAGATGATTTTAATACACAAGCATACTTGAGAAAGAAGGGCTCAGGGGGGAGGCGGAGGCTCATGTGATATATAAACACCAGCACAGACTCATTGGGCTGAATGGCCTGTTTCCGTCCTGTAAATTCTATATAATCTGATGTAACCCAGAAACACCAAGACCAAATACAGTGCCTTACAGTTGCTCTGGCTGAGATCATCTTACTTAGAACAGACTAGGAATTGAACTTGCAACTCTGGTCTGTATACCTTTACTCACTGGGCAATTGAGGGAAATTGAAACATAGAAACATCTAAATTAAGTCCCCAATGGATAGAGAGGTAGCTTAGCCTCCTGCATAATGCTGTTTGCATCCAGAGCAGAGAATCTTGCAGAGAAACATTTACATTTACATGAGGCAAACACCGTACCTGAAATGTCATTGTGCTTCAGTCTTTACTTACATTAGTGATAAAGAAAGTATTTCAATCAAGTTTAATCCAATCTAATGTGCATTTTTCTTTAAATACAAGTCTAATGTTCCAATTCTGTTTAACTCTAAGACTAGTTTTGAACAGCATTTTGGTAGTAAATTTGTCAAAATCACTGCAATTTAAAGCCAAATGTCCAGTACAAACAGGAGCTCAGGCAGCAAGTTTGTTCTGAAGCCCCGAAGCTGCCTGGAGGAGTTGGCTTCAAGAGCAATTGCGATTTATAACTTTTTCATTTGATATAGTCTATAATGTCCAAACATCTCAGAGTTTCATAGGCGATTACTGTCATGTGTACTGTCTACTTGTAGATAAACATGACAAACAATTTGCACACAGCAATGTCCCACAAACAGTCACAAAGTTATTGAGCAATTTATCTGGAGGAATGTTGATCACGACATCAGAAAAATCTCCATTCTCTTTTCGAATAGCATACAAGATCTTTACCGCCCACCTGAACAAGTAGAAGGTAACACGTCACCCAAAGGCCATCAATGCAATGCTTCCAGAGTACTGCACCAGAGGGTTAGCCTAAGCTATGAACACGAGAAAAACTCTTCCGTCTCCCCTCGCACCGCAACAGCTCACTCCTTATATTTACATTCATACCACTTTAATTTTCATCCTTTACTTTAATCCAGTATACGCAAGTCATATCCAAAATGTTAACCTGTCTGTCTCTTTCAGCTACCGATGGCTATCTTTGTGCTTCCAGCATGGGTCTATTTTGTTTCAAATTTCAAACAATCAATAGTTTTTATTTTTAAGTTCTACTTAATTAGCAAAGCTTTCCAAAGTTATAGGGTTTAATGGTCAAAAACACAACAAAAATTACAATAGCAGTAAACTTCATTTGGGACCAGTAATGTGAAGCCACTGTGGATGATGCATCTTGTTGTTTAGTGAAGCTGAAACAACCACAAGTAGTAACCTAAATCATTAAGTGTGGCATGTTTACACTGATTTTAGCCTTGTGCTTTTTTTAGTCTGATGTTTTTAATGTAAAAAAAATTGCAGACTGGAATTCTTCATAAAACATTAATCTTTTCTCGATGTGCAACTCTTTGCAAACTTCACATGGGGGGGCGGGGGGGAAATACAGGAAACATTCAGCCAAATCAAATCAAACCCAGGCAAACAATACATCACGAGAAGTGAATGCACAGGTTAACAGGAGAAATTAGATTGAAGGGAGTCTTGTCACAGTACAAAAGGCACCATAATGAGACTTGACAGTCTCTCACGATCCGCTGACTAACCACTATACCCAGTAATACAGGAAGCAAATCACTTACCCACACCACAAAATATCAGATTCAAAACTCAGACAGGGCCCTGTGAGATTCCTTAGGACATTTTTACTGCAGAGGTTTAAGAATCTAATATAACCATTTGGAGCAAATCCAAAATTCACATGTATCCACAGCAGAGAATCTTACCATAGCAATTTTACTGTTAAAAAGGTCTCAGCTGCTTTTTCACAGTCTGCAATCCAAACCACATCATTGAGAAAATGCGAAACATTGCAAGTTATCAAACAAATAGAGATTTGTTAGAGCTGTTGCATGGTTTCTCATAAGCTGCTCTCTCAAAACAAGTTTTGTTGTAACCCGTAAAGATGTGCCTTCCATGAAGTGATTGTCTATTACAGACAATCTACAGGGACTCCTAACTTACTGCCATAACAAACTGCTGAAACTTTACCTAAAGGAAATATTTACGATCAACTGGTTCAAATTTCACAGACTGAGGGAAGACATAGCTGTATTGAGCTGATAGTGAAAGATTACCAGGAAATCTACAACAGCTGTTAACACTTATTTCTGCAACTGAATGAAAGGTAGTTGCACCCTATTATAAATGTCTTTTAACACTCCAAGACTTGTGGTGGACATTTTTGTTTCTGCTTGAATCTGGAAGTGTTATACAGAATACAGTAGCAAATGGGTACAACCCAGGTAAGCCTATTGCATTAGTTGTGACAGGGAATCCATTGAGAAGCTGTCACTAGCCTAACCTGTTCCCTCCTCCCTTTAAGTCCCAAGAAGACAATGCACTCAAATGATACAGTTCTGTGTTTTTATCGATTCCACATAAGCATCTTCAGATGCCTGCCTCGTAGTGCTTACTGCAGACTAATCTAGCCTGAAGAGCCCAATATATCTAGAGGCGCTATTTAGGCTGGTCAGTGTAATAGATGAAGATCAGCTTCAACAAAGAGAGCGGCTCTGCCAGATAACTGAGTGGGTAAAGACTATCCTGTGTTGTACAATGTCAATACAGACAAGAAGTTTGCAAGTTTGAGTCCTGAGCCAATACACTGGAGCCCATGCTGAATTCGTTGAAAACATCACCATTCAATCATGTAACGTTCACCTACAAAATACAGTCACTACACTGTTACGGGGAATACTGTGAAGAGCTTTCAGATGTCCTGTTGATGTGAAAGGGGGAATATTAAATGGAAGGATTATTTTATTTACTTTAAATAACATTCTGGATTCGATGCCACTTAATACGCAACAGTAAATAATACAAATTCTGATTATTGTGAAGGATCCTAATAATACATTTGATAAAGCAACACACACTGTACCTCAGGTCTGCACCAGCACAGAAACGTTTAAATTAACAAAAAGAGAGAGGCAACCTTTAAGTTATCTTTGGTATTATGACATAACCACATCAGGGTCTATCTTTTTCTTAGCTCTCAGACTCCTACACTGTGCATGAGACAGCCATCTGGAACAAGCGACTCCTTAGTTTATTTTTATTGTTGGAGATGCCATCTTTTGGATGATACATTCTACTGAGACTCCATCTGCTTATTCAGGTGGATGTTAAAGATCCCATGGCACGATTCAAAAGAAGAGAATTTCTGTCGATGTCCTGGCCAACTATCCCTCAAATAAAATTTGTTATTCATGAATAAAAAAACAGCCCCTGGAGGCAAAGTAACAAAGATAATAACCAGTGTTAGAGGAATGAGCTATGAACAGTGATAAGACAAGCTAGTACTCTTCAAGCTTGAGAGAAGACATCTCAAATAGGATCTTATAGAAGTGTATAACATTTTAAATGGGATTTAAAAAGTAAACCCAGAATAATACTTTAGGCTGTATCTAGACAATAGAAAAAAATAACATGTTTAGAGTTGCAAAGGGCAATTATCAATATATCCCATATCAAAGTCCTAATATGGGGCTTGAACCCATAACCTTCTGACTCGGAGACAGGAATGCAACTAGGCTATATTGTTAAACCACTTGAATTTAGATCTCCAGACATCATTCTCAGACTGTACAGTACAGCCTAAATGGAGTCCTGTAACTCAGTGGTTAGAGCACTCGCCTCACAAGCGAAAGACCTGGGTTCGATTCCTGGTAGGGCGAAATGTTGGGCAGGTTTCCTTACTCCGCACACCTCGATTGGCAGATCACTTTTCTGGGGGTAATAATTCCTTAAAAAAAAATAATAAATTGGTCACTCAATTCACGATTGTTTGTGGGATACTGCTGTGTGCAATTGGCTGCCATGTTTCACCTACAAAAATATACAGTCAATTCAT